GCCACAACACCTGGCTATTTTTTGGTTGCAGCCCTCATTGTTGTTTTGGTGGGCCCAGGCTGGATTTGAACCTACCACCTTAGGTGTATGTGGCTGGTGCCTTAGCCACTTGAGCCACAGGCGCAGAGCCCATAGATGAATTTATTAATGTTTACTGGTCCTAGGTACTAATTGGTTTTTGATGACCTTAACAAGAGGGTACTATTCTATTTTGATTCCCATTTTATAGATAAGGAAATTGAGGCACAGGGAAGTTAGCCTGAGATTACACAGCCATTAATAGGCAATTTTACTTTGTCACCCTCGGTAGAGTGATGTGGCATCACAGCTCACAGCAGCCTCCAGCTCTTGGGCTTAGGTGATTCTCTTAACTCAGCCTCCCGAGTAGCTGGGAGTACAGGCGCCCGCCACAATGCCTGTCTATTTTTTTGTTGTTGTTGCAGTTTGGCCACTTCTTTGAGTCACAGGAAGCGCTGGTTATCTACTATTCTTGTTTTTTGTTTTTTTTTTGAGACAGAACCTCAAGCTGTTACCCTGGGTAGAGTGCCATGGCATCACAGCTCACAGCAACCTCCAACTTCTGGGCTCAAGCGATTCTTCTGCCTCTGCCTTCCAAGTAGCTGGGACTACAAGTGCCTGCCACAATGCCCATCTATTTTTTGGTTGCAGCCGTCATTATTGTTTGGTGGGCCCAGGCTGGATTTGAACCTGCCAGTTCAGGTGTATGTGGCTGGTGCCTTAGCTTCTTGAACCACAGGTGCCGAGCTGATAATGTGAGTTCTAGAGCTGAACTTCCTGGAACTCTGGACCTCTTCCAAGTAACCTCATAGAATACATAAGAGAGTAGTATGGAGTGAAGTGTGTTCCCTACTCCCCAGATTTCTGTGTTGAAGTATTAAGCTCAGGAACTCAGAATGTGATCTGATCTAGAGATAGAGTGATAAGATTAAAACAAGGTCATTAGGGTGGGCCTTAATACAATATGGCTGGTGTCCTTATACATGTAACTGGGGAATGTGGACAGAGACACACACACAGGGATAATGCCACGTGAGTGTGATGATAGCCATCTATAAACCAAAGTGAGAGGCATGGGGCAGAGCCTTCCCTCAGCCCTCAGAAGGAACCAAATCTGCCCATAGCTGCTGTTGGACTACAAGACTGCAGAAAAGTGAGATAATAAATTTTTGTTGTTGAAGCGCCCCCAATTTGTGATACTTGGTTATGACAGCCCTAGCAAACTAAAAAGGAGGATTTCAGGAGTTAATCATTTGATTCACACTCAATGCACATTGTCTAGTTCTTTTTAGCCCTCAGCAAATGTTACCAATTACCAGACTGCTCAAATATGTATCAACCTCTGAATGGATAAATAAACTGTGATATATGTCTCCCATGAAATACTATTCAGCCATTAAAAGATGGAGTCTTCACTTAACCTGGATGGAGTTGAAGCCAACATTGTCTTTAGTAAAGTATCACAAGAATGGAAAAGCAAGTATCCAATGTACTTGATACTAATTAATGTGAAACTAGTAGATGAACAGCTACATGCCCACATAAGAGAAAAACACAAAATTCAAATGTGGGGGAGGAGGGAAAAGGGAGCAGGGAGGAAGGAGAGGGTTGGTAAACTCTCACATGATATGCACAATGTAAGGGTACACAGAACACTCCCTGGTGAATGGCTCAACTACAACTGGAACTTTATCTAACAAACACAAACAATGTAACCTAATCATTTGTGCCCTCATATTAATCAGAAAATTTAAACAAACGAATGCTCAAATAG